CTTAATTAATATTTATAGAAAAAAAAACTAAAAAAATTGAAAACTGAAAATGTCCGTAAACGGCTCAAAAAGTGTCAAAATATTTTCAAAATTGTAGGGTGTATAGGAAATGCTAATATAAACATTCAGTGAAATTTTCATGTATCTACAGTAATTCGTTTTTTAATTACAACAAAAAAGGAAATTGCCACATGAGAAATCGAGTGAATATCCAATGTTGTAGAAATTTGAATTTCAAACGCTCATAAAAATTTAATTTGACTTTCCGGTAGAAATTTTTTTATTGATAAAGGTAGACAATCTTATGAGTAATCTTGTATTAGATTTTCAAATCTTAGATTTAAAAAGAAAAATTTTTACGAATTCTTAACTCAAAATAATTTGCTAATTTTCGTGATTTTTCCATATTTTGTCAATATTTGAACTTTAAATGCTTATAAAAAAAAATTGTGACTAAGGATTTTTAATATTTTTCATCTGCCTTTGAAACAACATATTAGGAGCCTTCTATTAAATTTTCAAGCTTTCGCAACCAACAAATAAAATTTTATTGATATTTTTAGAAAAAAAACTAAAAAAAAATGGAAAATGAAAATGTCCCTAAACAGTTCAAAATAAATCAAAATATTTTGAAAATGTTATCGTGTATAGAAAATGCAAATATAAACAACCAGTGAAAATTTCATGTATATACGTTCATTTGTTTTAGAGTTACACCAATAACCAAAATCGATTTTTTGGAAAATCAATTTTGCGTAAAAATTCCCGTTTTTCCTTAATTTTTATGTTGTTTTTCCCGGCGCTTGTGAAAACTACTGGGAAATTTAAATTTTGACCTCCCCAATGCACCAACGATATTCACTTTCCAATCGAACAAGATACTGAAGTCGAAAATCGAAGCATTATTTCGACTACTTATCGTGTACACAGATACAAAAAAAATTAAAAAATTAAAAAATAAAAAAATAAAAAAATAAAAAAACACACATCATTGTAAAATCAATACATTCATCGTTTCACTCAGAATCTAAAACTGAGTACTTAAGCTCTGCAATTTCCAGGCGTTTAAATTAAATTATAACTATGAGGTGCTTATGACTTTTTTGACCAAAAATGTTTTATGACAATTCAACATTGAATACTTCTAGTGTATTAGGTACATTTTATAAAAATTAATACAATAGTCAATTTTAATTCATTAAAAGTTGAAGACACTAGACAGCTTTTTTTATATTTTATTTAAAAATTACGACAAATAAATATTAGTATACAAGGTGTAACAGACAGACTAATAAAAAGGAATCACAATTAAAACACAATACAGATATTTTAATAAAAAAAAAAATAAAATGTGGCTACTGGGGAAGGTCATAGCTAAAGCAAATTGTCCTAGATCGTATTATGTAAAAAACAATATGGGTAAAATTATCAGAAGAAATAGAATCCACTTAAAAAATAATAAAAATATTGTTACAGGAAGCAGTGGTGAGGAAAAAAAAGAGAAAAATAAATCTAACAAAAGAGTACCGGTGAAAGAGGTATCAACCAAGCCTATTAGATAGAAAAAACTAGCCAACGCATTTAAAGATTTTGTAATGTAAACTAGTACAAAGGCCAGTGAAGCCCTTTCATATTTTGTATAATTATTAATTTGTTACAATTTTTATGTAAAATATTCAACACTATTTAAAATTGTATTCATTTTTATTTATAAGAAAAAGAGAGATGTAGATACTGATATTTTTTAATAGTATAATAGCTAATTTATATACTTAAAATATATAATATATAAAGGCCAGTGAAGCCTTTACAAATTTTGTATTATTATTCATTTGTTACAATTTTTATGTAAAATATTCAACACTATTTAAAATTGTATTCATTTTTATTTATAGGAAAAAGAGAGATGTAGACACTGATATTGTTTAACAATATAATAGCTAAATTATATACTTAATATATATAATATATAAAGGCCAGTGAAGCCCTTTCATATTTTGTATTATTATTAAATTTTTATAAGGTATTATTAATTTTGTATTATTACAATTTTTATGTAAAATATTTAACACTATTTAAAATTGTATTCATTTTTATTTATAAGAAAAATAGGGATGTAGACACTGATATTGTTACTACTTATTATTATTATGTTATTGAAATATGGTTATGTAGTATTGGATACTGAGTGCGCCAAGAGAGCGCAAGTCGGCGGCGACCAAAACCCATCGTACGGTGTATGACCAGTCGACTTGGTGGGAGAAATTAGACCTCTAACCTGCGGAGACCTGCGCAGCCGACTTGCGCTCTCCCGGCGCACTCAGTATAGTAGACATCATTATTCAATAAAGCAGATCAGATATACATAAAACAGTTTATTTCAGTTTTATAATTTATTCACTGATAAAAGAGTGCAACTGATTATTATAATTATGACTGTTAAAAGCAAGAGCAAAATTTAAATTTGGAAGGTCAACGAGAGATTTGTTTCACATAGACTCAGGAATTGATGAGGGGACATCCTCTTGGCCATGTCATTCGAATTCAATATTGTTTTACATAGGAAGCATTATTAACAAGTCATGGAAAATCAGCGCATTTATACAGATGATATTGAATTAATAGGAAGAAGCAACCATGGGGTAAGCAGTAATATTGAAAATACAGGGAGAAGGTTAAAATTAATTTTTGTTAAATTTTATCTGAAAATAATTTATTAATGAAAATTTTAAATGTTTACAGTTTTTGGGGAGGTTACAACCCCCCTAGATAACTGCCAATTGTGCATACTCAGTATTACACTTTTCATGTTGATGTTACAGTCAAAATCTACCGAGATGAAGTTATATTAGACCCTTTTAGACCAATAGTGCTTAGTAGAAATAATTGCATTATCAAAATCAGATGGCAACCAACAAAAGATTCAAAACCTAAGAAAAGTTTGGCAAGAAAAAAAGTCAATATTGAGATAAAGTAAGCAAATCCGCAGAGTGCGACACAAATTACAAGTCAGTAATCTGCAAATTCTTACATAAGTTAAAGCTTACATGCATGGGTGTATCTATTGTTTAAATTTTGGAGTATAGATGTTAAAGAAAAATCAATCGTCTATAACTGTGTTAACTATTTATTAGATGTAACTACTAACTAGTTCAACAGTTTATGAAAAGATTTTTTTTTATATTTTTTAAAATAAATTTAACAAATTTCAAAATAATATTATAAATTAATAAAAAAAAATCAATAATTTTCATTTCAGTTTTTAAAAAAATTACTAAAAATGTAATCAAATTTCTAGTTTTAACTATTAGGTTTAAAAAACTGTTTAGATATTTAAAATATTTAAATTGCATGGTAGAACATAATTAAGTTAGTTGAAGCAAGCAAGCAAAAACAAATATTTTATAAAAATATACACTAAGTACAATTAGTTTATAGTAAAAAAATAATTAAAAGTAAAAAGCAGCTTACGCCATCTGAGTAATAGCCAAGATACACATGCTCCTGTAATCGGGAAACAAATAGTCTTAAGAACTCTAGCCACACATATTGTAACCCAACTTGTTTCATATGAATGTCTCTTGTTGGCACAGCTTCATATCCATTATCCAATCTGGGATCCTACGGTTTGAGGTTATCATGCGCTATTGTTAATAATTACTCTCACATATTACTTTATATACACATAAGTAATAATTATAATATGATTATTTATTAATGTCAAGCAGAGAACACACACATGCTTTAGTATTGTTTTAATTTTGTTTGGTTTTCATTCCCACATACGTCGTGAGCGTAACCAATAAATGCTTTCTTTTGTATTGGCTGAACATATGATCGAAGAAATTCGAGCCAATGCTTCTCAAGTCCAACTTGATTCATGTGTATGTCTCTGGTTGGTACAGCTTCATAACCAGTTCGAAGGCGTGTGTCCTTCAATTCAATTTATGTCATTTGCTGTTCAAATTTTTATATTGAAAATAGATATTTACTGGATGACTTACGTTATTTGTACCATCTGACCATTGTCCAAAATTCTCCATAATTTCAATGAATTCTTGGCAAAACTGTTCAGTTAAAATTGGGAACCAAAATACATCTGGGCACGGCTTTACAATAAAATAAATGTATACATAAAGAATATTTTCAATAATTTTAAATATTTAGTTGAAATTCGGTTAAACAATTACCTCAGCTGGTTTTTTATCTGGATTAAAATTGTCCATATATTCTGGATGAATATAACGCTGTTCCCAATCATATCTGTTTTCAAATATTTGGTATACTTCAGGATTCTTAAGAGTAATATCAAATGATTCTGAATCAATCAAATGCCCATAAGTATATTGATTATCAATATACATAAAAACCCCCTAAAAATAACATTTTCATAAATAATTTTCAACTTTAAAATGATGACTTCAAAATACCTTTTCTCTTAATGATTTACTAAATGCCATATCATAATCCAAGTTATCTTCTTTGTATGATGGCCTAGTGTATTTATTTTCTAAAATTGTACCTTTCATTAAGTAACAACTACTTATATAAGGTACATTCCAGATTCCTCTAAAACATTATAGTACATAAATATTTTATCAATATATTAAAAGTATTTTTTTAAGCAAATTTGTTATTATAAAATGCAACAGGGGAATTTAATAGAATTAGCAATTTAAAAGGAAGTGCCATTTAATTGATCATAAACCAGGATAGGGTCAGAATTGCATTCAACATGATGAGGACACAGTTAGTTTTTCATTGTAGTCAACAGAATAAAGTTGTGCCAAGGTAAACCAAAACAAAAAGGACATTAAGTCTTACTAAGATTTAAATACGTATCAAAAGTTATCAACAGAGAATAAAAACAACAAAAGTAATAAATATTACATTTTAAACTTATTTTAACAAAATGTTTAATAATGTAGATAATTAATTTTTCAAAGCTACCTATTACTTAATTTAAATAACTTTTTTTTATGATTTCAGGCAAGTGCAGTATGGGATTTAAGAACATAATAGTAGCTGCATTAATCACAGCAATTATATTTGGAATTATAACAGATGTCTGTGGTAAACGTGGCAGAGGGAGAAGTAGATCAAAAAGCAGAGTGCAGATTGGATTACCTATTACAGGAAAATACAGAGACCCAGAATCTGATCAATACTACAATCATAATGATGTATTGTGCCAAATATTTGTCGATAGTGTTATGAAATTTAATTATTATTATTAATTTTGATTTAGGGAGCAAAAATAGTCATGGCATCACATTTCGATTATGAATATGTACTTGGGCACAAAATAGTATTTGTTTGTGTAGCCAGAGGAAATCCGAGGCCTCAAATCACTTGGTATAAAGATGGCACTGAACTGTATTATCATTACAATCACCATGTAAGTAAAATATCTTAAAGAACAATTTCAAGGGATCAAATTAAATATTATATAATAATGACATGAAATAAAATAATTACATAAACAACTGTTAAGTGCTTACTAAATAAATTTTGAATAATTTGTTTTTCAAACAACAATAATAAAAACAATAAATTTAATCATTAATAGGTATAGTTGTATGTAATAGAATTTAAACTAGTTAGTTTTATTTAAGGTTCATGAGTGGAATATTGCCGAAGATAGCATTAAGTCTAAATTGGAAATTGATCCAGGAACACAAATGGATGCTGGTGTGTACGAGTGTTCAGCTGACAATAAATACAGTATTGACCGAAGAAGTTTCAAGACAGATTTCAGTATAGCATTTGAATCATAATGAACAATAATTATAAATGAATGTGGGTCTTAAATAAAGTGCTTTTTTCTTGATTAAGACTTACGTTTTATTGTAATTGACAATATCCATGTAGTCAAACGATCTAGCATAGAATCCTTCTTTAGATAAGGCTCCCCAAAAGTTAGACCAAGCTTTAAATGGTCGTGTGAGCATTGGGGCAATAATTTTTCTAAATGAAAATAAATTAAACATTATTTATTATAAATAATTGACAGAAATATTTTTACTTGTTACGCTGAATTAATGTTTTCAATGTTTGTGGATTATCTAAATGGGCTTCATTCTCAATGTAAAATAAAAAGTCACACATTTTGCTAGTGCATAATGAACTGTATATAAAAAAAAAAAAACCAACAATTAACACATACAAAACAAATATAAATAATATAAATATTTAAAACAATATTTACAATGAAAAGTGCCGTGCATGTATGCTTTCTTCTGCAGTCTTATGAAATACAAATGATGCATTGTATTTATCACCTATTTTAGAAATAAATTTATCCACATGTTCTTTATGATAGTCCACCTAAACGTTTAAAATCAATATATAGACAATTTGAAGAGAAAATGCTTATTCAATTATTGATTAATAAGAAATATTACAAGTGTAGTAATAGACAAACACAGTCTGCTCTTTGGATAATCAATATTTTCAATTTTGTCTAAAAACTCATCAAAAAATGGAGTAGGTTTGTCAACTATTATAGATAACAGCACTTTTGGATAATTTTCTTCCTAAAATAAACAAACATTAATAAATTATAGTTGGTACCTACCATGAAGACCAAAATAAGGAGACCAAACCCAACTACTGAAAACGTCCTGAAATGAGTTACACAATTAAATAGCCACAGGCTGAGCTGCGGTCTTTAAGGTTACTACTTTATCCCGCATAGTATAGGGATTCTACATGTTATATTAAATAAATACATCATATTGAACCATGACACATTATAAATGTTATAGCTTGTACAATTATGCATTTATACATGTTCAATGTGATATTGTGCACAATATGTCATAAACAACATACTTAAGAAAAAAATGTTTGTCTACCTAACGATTGTTCAAGAATGTGTGATGTGTATGGTGTATCGATTAGTATCGGGCTTAGACATGCCGTGAACACAGATATACAAGCATAAAAGATGTATGTAAGATGATTAGATATAATGTTATTAATTTAATCCCTATAGGCTTATAGTAGCGGGTTGAAGTACCAATCACTGTGATTGCAGAGCAACATATTATGGCCTTTTAATCATGCAACTCATTGCAGGATGTTTTTTCAAGAGAGCGGTTGTATGAGTTTGGTCCCCTTATTCTAGTCTTCATGGTTGTACATAAATTTGGTATAAAAAAGTTATATGTGAAAGAACCTTGAGCGTTGAAAGATCTAGATTGTTGTCAGAGCATGTAATACAGCCACTCTCAGGAGACCACTTATTTGGAATATAATTTGTGTAGCTATTGAATGTTATTTTAGATAATCCATTTCCATGAATAACAGCTGGTTGAGTATTAAAATTAATATTTTCCAATACATATGATTTATTTACAAGTTTCAGCTTTATATCGTCTGTAAATACAAATAAAATTAGTTTAAACCAATTGATAAAAAAAAAACAGACATTTGTCACTCATTTAGTTTACTACCAATATATATTTGTAGCAGATAAAGTCTATTAAATTAAAAATTAAAATTGAATTATATAAACTGTTAGGAACTGTAATTGTTTTTTTAATACAGTAGAATCCGCTTAACGGGTACACCTGCTTAGTGGGGACATTGATGACAGTCCCGAATGAATGTATTGTATGTAAAATTCTTCGGTTAATCAGGACAGTCGGGATAATGGGGACAAATAGGTCACCGCCCGATGTGTCCCAATAAAGCGGATTCGACTGTATTACAGAAAAAAAATGAGTATTATAACTGTAGCTGAAGAGCTTATAAATTTATAAATTATAAGTTAGAATATCATGGTAAATAAAATAAATGTAGATGTAAATATATAAACACAGAGCGTAGCCATTGACTGTGTTTATTATAGCCAAAATTATAATACTGTATTGAAAAAAATTATCAGCTTAAAAAATTTCTGCCTAAGTCACTGAATAAACATGTAAATGCTGTAAACTTGAAAATTGATTAATTATAAGACATTGCTCATGCTGAAAATCTAAAATTCAGATGGAAAAAATTTAAAAATATTCTAACCTTCAGCAAGATAGACATTTTGAAACAATTTTGCATAATTATCCAACTTAATATTAAGCTTTTCGCGTAAATCAGTATTTAAATACAAATTTGTCAAATGCAATTGATCGTCTCCAAGATTTTTTATTGGCTTCTCTGATAGTAACTTATACAATTGGCTAGCATAACCAATAATACCTGTTTAAATAAGTTTTAAAATTAATAACATTTTATAGGCACTTATTTTTTTTGTGTAAGGCTAAACAATATAATATTGAGTATTTAAACAGTATATTCTAATATATAACAAGTATTAACTTACAATAATATTTTAAACTATGTAAATAAATTAACATGCGATTGTAAACAAACCTCCAGAGTTTATAAATCTATAACCATTCGAATCAACAGTAGGATATTGATCTGCTAATTTTCTATCTGGCCAACAACTATTTTCGGTTGAAATTACAATCGAAGAATCAAATTCAGTAAATGCATTTAGAATTGTACTGCTGTTAGCTAAAAGTACAACATCATACCTGAAAAAACCATAATGTAGTTAATTTAGTAACCTAGTCAATAAAATATTATTTTAATTAAAAATGTATTACGCATCAGTGAGTAATACTGCTAAATTATCATTGTTTTTATAAGGCTCTAATGCTTCAAGATACAAATTTAGTTTGTAACCACCACCAACACTATTCATGTTGCCTCCTTGCCATGGCTTATCAAAACCAAGCACCTACAGAAAAATACATAAATTAGAAACTGAAAATAATTCATATAAGTTTTAAATAATATAATATAATATTTACTTTAGTTTTAAGGCCATTTAGGTTAGCAGAATCAATGAATCTTTTGAAACCATCATTTTTTTCAGAAGCTACTGTGAGTACAAGCAAATCTAAAAATAATTAGAATCATAATTACTTTTTAATATTTATACTTATAAAAAAGATTTATTAGTATGACACTTGTGTGTAATTTTAAGTTGAAATAACTTGAAAATACCTGCAATAAATAAATATGTTCTTACTTATTTCTTAAATAACCTATATACAGTTAAAAGCTGAAATTATTTTTATTATTATTATTATTATTATTATTATATTTCTTATGAATGATAATCAAGCTATAAAATATATTGTAAGTACCTAATACCTACTTATTGTATTATTTAATACTAAATAATAATAACATTTATTAAAAATAATTGGCTTGGCTTGGCTCAATTCAAATTACGTTTTGAAAATAACTGACAGTTAAACGACAACTAAATTAAGCCAATATCATACAATAATAAAATAAATCAATAATAAGTAAACACAGAAACATATTATTATACCTAATATTAAAACATATCCTGATTTATTTTAGTTAATTATTTAAAAAATATTAATACCATGGGTTCAAATAATTGCCTATACACAACTATAATCTTTAGAGTACTTATGGACTAAATTTAGTCCATACATTTGGATTAACTTTTTATTCTTATTGTAGAGTTATTTTGTTAAGTATTGTTTGACAGTTGAAAACATAATACAATTACAACAGAAATTAATAAAGTTAATCAGGTTATAACAGGCAAAGCGCCGGATAGACAAGGTACTAATTTCTCAATATCATATAAAAATAAAATTATAGCCAAACGCACTCATGACCGGCTCCCCGAGAACATAACCTAACCGAAACGTTCTCAGTATCTCGTTGGCCTAATCCGAGCCTGAACAAGCAATAACAAGTTTACAGTTCTTATATCATTCTATTTAGGTTTATAAAGAATTGATAAATTCAATTCGGATTTTGAACTATTTATATTACAAATATTACATTTCATATAATCAGCATATTTAAAATAAAATAACAGATAATATTATGTTTAGTGTGCGCCAGATGTACAGATTACACACACAACAAAAGATGAGAATTATGTTATTAACATAGTTACAGTTTAGAATATAGAATAAAATATAGAATAAAAATATTATATAATATGATTAGATAAAAATTGTGAATCCATAAGTGAAATTAACAAAATATTCATGTGAACACATGTAAGGAAAAATGAATGGAATGACATTTCCGACTGACCCTAGTAAAAATAAATGATAAGACGCAAACAGGAAGCATTCAGAAAAGATTAATGTTACAGATAGTAAATATAAAATAATGTTCTAGAAAAATCATACAAAAAAATAATTTTATTTATATGGTAATATTAGTTAACATAATGTACCTATTACTTACACAATTATCTATCAAGTATATGGACCTATATATTCCATACCACAGAAATAATTGATCGATAAATATTTTATTCTAAGAACTAGAAACCTATGACTTAGTTGAATTTATGAATTAAATGATAGTGATAGGTAGGTATGAAATAAATTGATTAAGCCTTATAACAGTTCCAAAGTTTGATATTTACAATGCTATTTTATTATGCATATTAATATTAACCAATAAGATATAATAAAAATATATTATTAAATTATTTTGATATTTATTTTAGCAAAAATCATACACCTAACTATATATTATATAATATAATATTTTACTTTTAACTACAAATTTTCTTGAATTAGTATTATTAAATAATAATATAATAATATGCAAGTTTATATTTATTGACAAAATAATAAATATTTTTACAGAGACAGCAGAACGAGGCCTGGGACAATTTTGTTTAGACGAGGCCTCAGAATATATAATTTGTTTTAACTCAAGGCCCAAAATGTCATATACATGAGCGAGGCCCGGGGCAAGC